AAAAACACTATGTTAGGTACTTTTAAAACTATTAAGTTCACATAATCTTCACAAGGCACAAATTAAGTCAATGTTATGGATAAGGAATCTGAGGATTGTCCAAAGCCATATATATAGGTAGTGAGTGACAAAGTAGTCAGGTTTCAGGGCCTATAATTCCTTTCTCTACTGCAAGTTTTTAACTAAAGTGTGACAGAATTTCTCCAAGAAAATAAAGAATGGTGAAAACTTTATATTAGACCTCACCCTAGTTTTTATTGACAGGATTATGATTTTTTAACTTTTTTATTCAGAAAGTGTACATTTTTTTGTCATTTCTTTTTTTTTTAATATTTTTACACCATTCTTCATTTTGTGCATTTTTCCAGTTGAAGTGTGCATATTTTTATCTCAGGAAGAATTACAGATGCTTGCTTATAGCACTCTTTCTTCCCTGAGCTCCTTGACATGCTCCTTGTTCTTCCCTAACCATTTCCCTCAACCTCCATCCAGATCAGACCTGCTCCTCTTTATCTGCCCATGTCTTCCATGACGATGTTCCTCTCTGCTCAGCCTTCATCTCACTTCAGGTGCACTCTGCCCTCCATAGACAATGTCACCCCATCCGTTGTTAAACATTCTTTATACTGCCTCCAGCTCACATCTTCCTGCAGTTCTCCAGAAAGTAATCTACCTAGATAACTCCCTGGGTCATCCTCTGCAATAATTCCAGAGCCTCACCCATGTTATACCTTATCAACTCTTTCCTCGAACATTTCATTTTTTTTCCTCCTGTATTCTGTCTGGCACCACAACACCCAGCTTCACAGGTAAGAAATTTGGGAGTCATTTTGGACATCCCCAGTGACAAATAATAACCTTGAGTTCGTCCACTTCATATCATTTTCAAATGCATCCTCCTTGTTTCCTTTGTTCCCTCAGCCATTCCTTTAGTTAATCATGGTCTTCACCACATGCAGCCTGGACCACTGACTGGTCTCTCACCTCCAACCCAGGTCTCTTCCAGAGCACACTCACCACACCTAGCTGCTGTAGCTGACATTTCCCCATCTATAGTATATCCTCTCCCAGCTTAAACTCGGTACACCTACAGGATGACAGCATAAAGGGCCCAATGCGTCCCTCAACTATGCCTCAGTATTAAATCCCAAGCATTAAACTAAGTTTTAAAAAGAAACACTATTTTTAACCCTTAATGCCTTGGTAAATAGGTGCCTCAACTGCAAAACTTGGTTTTTCAAAAAACTAGGCAGACTAGTTGCTCAAGAATCCACCTTCTTGGGGAAGCTTTCCTTTGCACCATCTACTTACTCTTCTTCACCCTTGCTTTTACTGGCACGCTATTGTTTTGTCTGCATCTCCCTTTCCTGTGTCAGATTGTTGACACAGTGAATACTCAGTAACTGTACAAATTCTTTTTTAGAGAAGATTTATTTATTTATGCATAAAGAACTGGGGTACAGAGCAGTGAGAGGATTCACCAAAGACAGAAAGAGGAGCACAACAGTCAGACCTATGAAGTAAGTACACTGCTGAAGGGAGCAGCTGGTGAGATAGGAAAGGTCTGCTGGCCGTGAGGATCACTTCTGGGGCCGGGGATCTAATTCGCACTGAAGCAGCTGCTGCTAGCTTGCAGTAAGGCATCCTAACCCTTGCACCCTTGCACAAATTCTTACATATTTAAATTACATAAAATGTGGACCCTCCCTGGTGGTACAAGGGGTTTAAGCACTGCAACCATGAAGCAATCTGCAGATCTGCAGCCACCACAGCAAAATTCAATCCCATGCCAGGGAGCTAAACCACATGGCTGGCAGACCTCTCCTGTCTTGTCCACTGCTCCCCTCAGCAGTATAGTTCAGTAGATCTGCCTGTTTTGCTCCCTACTCTGTCTCAGATGAATCCTCTCACCATCCCACCCGGGCACCTCTAGCCTGTAAGCCAGTTCTTGTATGCATAAATCTTTAAAAGTACATACAATGTGTCATTATTGTATCTAAAATTTTAAAAGTTTAAAGTCACAGCCAAGAGAATCTTTTCCTATCCAATTCTGTAAAGATAGAAGTTCAACACACATGCCTTTGGAGATACTTCCATGACCACACATTTGTCAAGTACTCAGTATAGCAGCCTAACAAGTAAATGCAACCAGTGAACCTCGGATTGGATTCTGGACTTTAAAATACAGCAATAAAGGAAACTATAATTTGAGAAAATGGGTTGTGTATTGGATGATACTACTGAATTAATAATGTTAATCTTCTTTGGGATGGTAATAGTATTAATCAGATTAGCTTTTTTCTAGGCATAAAAAGCTTTATGTCTGTAACTTATTTTCAAAGAGCTCATTTTTTAAAAAGCAAAGCATACAAGGAGACACAGGAAATGTGGCAAAATGTTAATTCAGAGTGAGTATTCTCTGTACTAATCCTTCAAATTTCTACAAGATCCAAAATTTTCAATCAAACATTTGGGGGAAAATGCCCAAAAAAGACATCAAAAAACCTTTGCTCTTTGTCTTTCTTTCTCCCAGACCTACTGATGGTACCTTCAATTTTTACATCCACCCCTTAAAACCAAAGCTTTCCACTCAGATTGTGTTTTAAAGTCAAAAAGCATCATCGTCCCTCACAAACATTCAACAATTTGCTCTCCTAGTTGGTTAACCAGCAGAATGCACTTTTACTTGCCTAAATAGTATCATATTGCACTGAAGAAGTTTAAAGCAAGTAAAACTGGACTTCCTAATTAGCACAAGTAATTCCTTGAGATTAACCATAGAGATTTTCATCTGGGAAAACCTGAGCTGATAAGTAACAAAGGTTGGTAGAAATAGTAGTGCTTTAATTCTTCCAGAATTGTCAAGTCTCTAACAAGAAATGTTTTGGGGTTTTTTGCATAGAATTTTATATATCATATTATATATACATTTATATCACATTATATATATATATATCATTATTGTTCATTCTTGCACAATGTATACTTTCTCCTCTCAGGTGTAGTCCCTGTAAAACTCCTACCATCACTGGGGGGGAGGGGAATGCAGCGATTATGGTGATGGCACACGGGTGACTTGGTGATGGGAAACCTGCGGGGATTACAATTGAGATGGAAAAAAATGTACAAAATGATGCAAAAATAAACTTCTATAATAAAAAAAAAATTTCCACCATCACTTTACCTCTGTTCTATTATCATAGTCATTTGTGCTCTTCCCTCCCTTTTTGATCCTTCTGTCTTCCCCTCCCTTAGTGGCCTCCTAATATTTTTATTGTTTTTTTTTTCCCTGATCCCTAAGTGAAACCATCTGATACATATATTTTCCTTCTGGCTTATTTCTCTGAGCATAATCCTTTCTAGCTCCATCCATATTGTTGCAAATGGCATGAGTTTATCTTTTTTGATTGCTGAATAGTAAAAGAATAGTTTTATTTTTTACAGCTGACTCATAAAAATTGAGTCCCTATCTTCAATTTTTACTACATTCAGATGAAAATTTTAAAAATACATTTATCACCTTTTTTAAAAAGGTGATCCCCAAGGGTATATCCCCAAGGGAAAGGGAAATGCATGCTCAACAAAGACTTGGTAGTACAACTTGTGAACATGACTAGTCACGGCAGAATTATTCAGAAATCAAAAAGTTGAGACAAGAATAAATGTCCATCAACTGATGGGTAAGCAAAATATGGTATAGGTATATACATACAATAGAATATTAATTATAAGGTGGAGTTACTGATAACATGGTAAAACATGGAGGAATCTTGAAAATTAAGTGGACAGACAAAGAAGCCACATAATGTGATTCCATTTATACAAATGTCCAGAATGGGCAAAACCATAGAGATAAGGTTTATTAGTATTTCCCTGGGGGCTTGGAACAGTGTGTTCAGAAATGGGAGAATGACTGCTAGAATGTACAGTGTTTTTTGGAAGAGATGAAGATGATGTGGAATCTGATAGTGGAAATGGCTTCCAAGCTTTGTGAAAGCCACTGATTTGTGTATTTTAAATGAATACCATGGCATGTGAATTATAGCTAATTAAAAATATCAGAAAATCAAGTTTCTACTTGGTCCTGTTTTCAAGGACACACAATCACCACTGGACACAATGAAGAGTAGCCCCAGACTCTATAGGATAGTGGCCAAGCTCTCCATCCTCTCTGCCCAGTCCTCACAGGAGCACTTTGTTAGCTTTAGCATCTGTAGGGCCATGTTGGCAATTCACAAATTTCTATTAACCACTAGAATCCCAGCACTTCCTCTAAGACTAACCCTCATACATGTTTCATACTCATCACTACTTCATTTTCCTGATTGTACTTATGATCTTTTACTCATCTTTTTCTAAAACCTGGCTTATCTACCTGCACAAGAACAGTGCCTCAATAACAGTAGGTAATCAATGAATGTCTGGTGAATGGATGACTTGGAAAAGTTTATACAGACACTTGCATTGGATGTTAATTGAAAAATGATGTTCCGGGCCCTCCCTGGTGGCACAGTGGGTTAAAACACAGCACTAAGAAGCTAAAGCTGCTTCAGCATGAGTTCAATCCCTGCCTCAGAGGTGATCCACATGGCTCAGCAGACCTCTCCTGACCTGCCTACTGCTCCCCTCAGCAGTATACCTCATCAGTTGGCCTGTTCTGCTCCCCACTCTGTCTCTGGTAAATCCTCTCACCACCCCTACACTTCTGACCTGTGCCCCAGTTTCTGTATGCATAAATAAATAAATCTTTTTTAAAATATGATGTTCCATACTTCAAAATGTGTTATTCTTAAAAAAAAAAAAAAAACTTCTTGCCTTCATTTGAGCATGGAGCTAATATTTAAGAAATCTTGTGCAAGTAGTATCTTACTGTAGACAAATTCACCAATCTTTATGCATTTTAAGTAAAACACTCAAGCATCATAAACAAAATAATTTCAACATGCGAAATTCAAATTTACAAAAAAAAAAAAAACCGAGATAGTTAGTTTTAGAATGTTATCTCTATTAGGTTATTGCTGCACATCTTTATTACTTATCGAGAGTGGGAAAATGTAGGCAAGCCCTAAAAATGTAGCAGAAGCATTTCTGCACACTGGTATCCATAATCTAGTTTGTGCAGAAAGGTTTCCACTAGATTCATAGAGATCTCACTCGAAGAAAGAGGCAAGAATCGGTCATTTGGTTGCCCTCCGAACCTTCTGCAACTCTTCAATGGGCTTCCATTGCTGGTTAATTGTGATAAGCTTTAAAAAAAGGCAAAACAAAAGTTTTTTGTTAAGACCTGTTCTTCATACTCAAAACCATGTTAGGATTTGTCTACAATCCCCTTTAGAAAAAGCACCACCATAGCATCTGCAGTCAAAGAATCCAGAATCTCTAAAACATGCATGAAGTATTAATATAGGCTGGTTTCTATCACTCTGTCTCCTAAAAAGCCTTAGGGAACCTGAATGTTTCAGGATCAGAGAGCAAGGACATAAGCATTAATGGATTCGAAATATTTTAATTTCCCATGCCTTATGTAAACTGGAAGTTCAAAAAAACCTGTCTACACCCATTACTGGATGGTATATCATGCTACAAAGATGGGGTCTGGAACACTGTAGGCTCTTATGATTTCCTCTTTGTAATATGCAATAAAATGACAAATGATCTAAGTTAAGCAATAAGGGAAATGAGCAAACTGTGGGCAGCTCTGATTGCCAAAGAACTCACATTTCAGCAATTTTCATTTACCCTTACACATTTTCTGTTACCCCAGGATCTAGAAATGTAGTTAATTTTAAAGATCTTAAATGTTCCCAGTAGGCCAAAACCTACTATATGAAACTATTTGAAAGTTTTGTCTAAAAACAGTTTTCCTGACAGACCTAAGTAGTATTCGTTCCAATAAACTCAAAATTTTTTACTTTCAAAATAATAAAAATGTAGTCTTTAGGATAGTCTTAACAGTAACTAGTAAGTAATTTTGCTTAGAGGTTGCCACTACTGTTTTCAAGAGCTCTTGTTATTACTCCTAATAGACCTGATATTTACTTTAGATAATGGATAAAATGAGATCATGTATTACAATAATGCCAAAAGTTATCATTGGAGAGATTACTAAGGGCCAGGCAGTGTGCTGGGCTGGGCTCTATGTATTTTATCTTCTTTAATTCTCTTAAATCTGAGGTAAAGCCCCATTATTGTGACCATTAAATAAATTCTGAGAGCTTCAGGGAGGCCAAGTTGTCTAAAATCACCTATGGATAAAATCGCCTAGAACAAGGATTTGATCATTGATCTCTAAAGCTCTCTAACACTACATTAAATAATATCACATCTATTTTGCTGACAAGGATGCTTAGGTTTATGAAGTCACTTTTTAGTTTAGCAATACCTTTCCAGGTACATTAGGATCCACATTTTCCCAAGGCTCTGGGTTTTTTTTTCGATCAATACTGAAAATAAAAGAAAACTGATTATTTAAAAGCAAGCCAATCTAAACAACTGGGATACTAGATATAGGGACTGACTGACTGCATACTTAGTCATTCATCTATTCCTTCACTGAAACTGATGGAAAATTTGTTAAGGGAGCTTCACAGTTTGGCTTAAACATTAAAAATCAATCCCCTCTTAGACAAGAGGTCTGTGTGCCCTTTATTGTGTTAGGCTGGAGAATGTTCCCATAAGCTGAACAGCAATGTATAGAAGTGAGTGGTCTTGCCCTGGTTTCTGGGATGGGCTGAAGAGCTGGGCTTGAACTATGTAGTTGTAATCTATGGTATCCTAGGTTCCTCTTCCAGAGCTTGGCAACACCATCCTTTCCAGTACTGACCCGGTCAAGATCATTTTCAAGTCTATCTCTTCCTCATATTCCAGGAAACACAGTATATTACCTTTTTATATCCAGCACTGATAATGTAGACAACTGAACATAAAACCTTTCCCATAAAACTGAAATTTTTAGATTTCATTACCATGATTGGTTTGATGATGTAAATCTCAAGAGACCATTTAAGAACTTTTCATTTCCAAACTTAAGTTAAAAAAATCAAACTTCACTGAAGAACAGGAGGAAGGCCAGTGGATGAAAGGATATTTAAATACAGAACAAGCTAGTGTTAGTAATATCATAATATAGTAATTTCTGATAATCAGGATGCTTTCCAACCCTGATTCTAAGTTCACAATTTGATTCTAAGTTCACAATTTGACATTCTTATCCTTGGAGGTTGGGGGGGGGGACACCTTGGGGGGGAGGGGCAGGAGGAGAAATAGGAAAACGACATCATGCATAAACCAGAGGCCAATTTAACACCCTGAAAACGTTTTTCTAAAAGATGTCTACTTACATCACATCAGATTTCTGAAGGGAATATACAGCAAAAGACGAAGCTCCACTTGCTGCAGCAGTCATGATCAGCACCAAAGGAATAAGCTGACAAAGAACAGGTTGTGGTGAACATCCCCATGTTTCAATGTGAAACATGTCAGATGGAACAGTTACCTATCATTTTCTACCTCAAGATCTGCACCATCTTTTCCCATCTTTAAAAATCAAAAATTTTCAGTCAAGATTATCCATTAAAACTTACTTCCTTCTTTTTCATCAGGAGTTGGAAAAAGTTCATGATGACTGCAGTGGTGAATGCCAAATCTAGAAGTAAAAAATCCAAGATGTTGATCAAAACTTCAGCCTCTAGAACCCAAGTTGGCAAGGGGCAAACCACCCTACCGACTCCTAGAGCCAACTCCGGTTGGTGCACCACCCTACCGACTCCTAGAGCCAACTCCGGTTGGTGCCTCCGCGTCCTCACCTGGGGGCGGGGCAGCGCGCGCAAAGGAGTTAACGCCCAGAATCTAGTGGGGCCCGCAGCCCGGACGCCTTATATACACCGACCTCAACCGCTCGAAAAGGAGGGGCGGGGTCATCTGGTCACGCGCGCTGCGCTGCGGGTTGGAAACCTGACTCACTTTACCCCGCTCTGAGATCCGACTTCCTGGCGCCTCCCAGCGCTCAGAAGTGGTTCTTACCCGCCTGGCCACACGGGCTGAGGTTTAACCTTGAGGGTCAAGTCTCCCAAGCGGCCCCTCTGCCTTCTAGGGGGAACATGAGAACCAGAGGAACTCTGATGGCCAAACAAAAAAAAACAGATTGTCTAAAAGGGGATTCGAAAAGGGAGCCAAGGAGCCAGAGTACCCGGGGAGGATCCCAGGTGTAGCAGGTAAATTAGAATTGATCTAATCATATTAAAGGCTCCCAAAATTTGTGAGCTAGCACACAATTAAAATCAAATTCTAAAGTTTCTTTCAGCATAACTCCCATGATGTACTGATTTTTCCCACTAAAGCAAAGCAACAACAACAACAAAATCTGGGGATGAGGGAGAGGAAACAAAAGGAATCAGCTGGAAAGGTTTCCCAGGGAAACCTCTGAAACTACCTGAACAGCGGTCTTCATCTTGAGCTCCCTTTTAGCTGACCCTAAGCCAGCAGCCTCACCTTGCACAGAGCATGCAGGCGACTGCAAAACCACCAAAATAATGACACCGTAACCCTAAGATAGGATCTACGTGCTGGACTCTGTGCCAGAAGCTTCTCAACATTTTTGCAGGGTGAGTGTGTTATCTCGGCTCACAGACGAGCTCAAGTCCCTTAGCCAGTAAGTGGTAGAGATGTGATCAGAATCCCCGACTGTTAAGCACCCAACATCACAGGGCTTTCTGCATCTGACTGTTAGCTACTGCAATTAAATCAAGAATTTAGTAATTTTAAAACAATTACATTTTTAAGTTTTTAAAATGACGTTGAAATTTTATTTTTTCCCCACCCCATCTCTTACACCCTTTGTCCTCCCCACAAACTTCCTTCCTCTTAACCTCAGAAACCTCACTTCACTTATTAGCATCTTCCAGTTTTTATAGGTATTTTGCTTTGCCCAATTGTTGGCTATGTAAGTATCCAGTATTTGTCATTCTGACTTGCTTTAGGACACAATTCCCTCCACCTCCTTCTATTTTTGCTGTAGAGGCCATTTCATCTTTCCTATGGAAGAATGATACTCCACTGCACAGCTATACCACATTTTCTTGATTCAGTCCTCTATCAGTAGGCACTGAGTTAGTTTCCATGTCCTAGCTATTGACTTCTTTTTTAAAGGAAAAATAAAACCAAAACCAAAAGGAAAACACCCACCACCAACCATTATACCTCCTCCACACCTTCCACTCCTCAACATTCTTCACCTCATCAGCCTCATTTCAGCTAACTGCTCACTAGTTCATTTTTGTTTTGTTTTGTCCTTTGTCCACTTTTCTTCACATAGCACAAGGAAGTGAAATCATTTATTATTTTTGTTTTGTATAGCCACAAATTTCTTTCATTTTTTGCTGCAAATGGCAAACTTATCTTTCCTAACAGCAGAATAGTTCTATTGGATGCATGGATAGATATCTCTTCGAATGGATACCCAGAAATGGGGTTGCTGTCTTGTATGGTTGGTCTATTTTAGTTTTTTGAGGAAGGCCCATACTACTTTCCAAACTGACTGCAATTTACATTCCCACCAGAGGTATGTAAATGTTCCTCTTTTCCCACATGTTGCTAGCATTTCTTGTTAGCAATCTTTTTGTTGTAACATATTCTCATGGATACAAGATATTTCACTGTGGTTTTGCTTCACATATACCTAACAAGTGAAGATGAACACTTTTGATGTCTATTGGTAATCTGTATATCTTCTTTGGAAAAGTGTCTATGTGGCTCTGCTCATTTTTTAAATTGGGTTGTTTGGTTGTTAAATTGGAGATTGTTGAATTTGTTACTTTATACCTTGGATAGTAACTCCAAGGTATGTGTGGTCATGATGTGTGGTATGCAAATTCTTTTTCTTGTCAGTAGGCTTTTTTTTAATCTGCTCATTTTATTCACTATACAAAAGCTTTTTAATTTGATATAGTCCCAAATACTTGTTTTCATTACCCTGCCATTGAGATCAGTATCCAAAGATATCCCTATCCTTGATGTCATGGAATGAGGTCACCTGTTGTCTTCTTTGTTTTATGACTTCAGATCCTACATCCAAGTCTTTAATCCATTTTGAATTTTTTAAAAGATTTTATGCATACAGAACTGGGGTACAGGCCAGAGGTGCAGGGGGTGAGAGAGGAATCACCAGAAACAGAATGGGGAGCAGAACAGGCAGATGTACTGAAACACACTGCTGAAGGGAGCAGGGGGTGGGTCAGGAGAGGCCTGCCACACCATGTGTGTCACCTCCCTGGCTGGGTAATCATGCTTCAGTGGCTGTGATAGCTTCATAGTGCTGTGCTTTAACCTGTTGTGCTACCAGGGAGGGCCCTAATCCAATTTATTTTTCAGTACGGAATTAGAATGACCCAGTTCCATAATTTTACACGTGGCTATCCAGCACTCCCTTGTCAAAAAATAGGTGCCAATATAAATTGAGATTCATTTCAGGGCTCTCAATTATATTCCACTGATCTATTATCCATTTTTATTCCACTACCATACTGTTTCTGTTGCTTTATAATGTTTAAATTTCAGTAATATGCTGCCTCAATTTTTTTCCCTCAGAATTGATTTTAGCTATTTCATATCTTTGTGGTTCCATATAAATTTTAGTAATTTTTTTTGCATTGAAATCTGCATATTGCTTTTGGTTAATCCTTTTATCAAACCATTTGAAGTGCCAGACTCTGCTATGGAAGGGCGATAGCTTAGCTGGTTAAAGTGCTTGAGTTCACAGCCTCTCTCACCACACTTTATTAGCGGGATTTTGAGGAACCTCCTTAAACTTTATGAGCCTCAGTTTATAAATCTGTAAAATGGGGAACAAAACCACCTCAGGGAAATGTGTGTAAATCTTTTTTAAGTAGGCATCCAACAAATAATTTACTATTTGCAAAAATTAATTTTTTATAAGGCATCATGAGTACAACTTCTCCACTTATTCTGACAAGGGTTCTTACCATATAATCCAGACCTGTAACTGGAGCTTTTGCCAATTGCTTAGATTTACATCAGATGCTTCAAAGAAAGTTCAGCAACAATTCTCCTTATGAAGAAGAACAGGAGAAATCTTACAGGGATTTATCATGGCCTCCAAATTAAAATGAAAATGCATAACACTTGCCTACAAATAACCTTAAATTCAGCCTTGCTCCCCAATGTCATTTCTTTTCAAAATGTAGTACCTTGTGTTTTCAGTCTGACACACTAGCAAGTTAAGGATGGAGACACAGTAAGTTAAAAAGATTCATAAGACACAAGTTTCCTACTTCAAGGATCTTACAATTTAGTATCCATAGATAACTAACTCCAGGTACAAACTGATGCTAAACACAGGTGACTAATTGCAACTATTGTCTATTTGACATAGATAAAAGATAAGCCAATTTTAAAAGGTATTTGGGGGGCAATTAAAGAAATTAAATACAGAGCAGATACAAGAGAACATTAAAGGAGTATTACCTTTGTTAGGTGTAACAACAATGTTAGGGTTATGTTAAAAACAAACAACAAACAAAAAACCCTTTTTAAGGGATTGCATATGTGAATATTTAAGGGAGAAATATGTCCTCTTGCCTTACTTTAAAATCCATTTGCTAAAAAACAAATGAAACAAATGTTTAAAATATTCAACTTAGGGTATGTGGTAACTTGCCCCACTGCAAGGTAACAAAAGTTCGGAATAAATTGCTTTATAAAAATATCCACAAATCGTACATAATTATAGAAAATGTACCTATATAAGCTGAAGGTTATGCATATAATCTTTAAGTTATGCTTATTTCTGTGTGCACAATGAAAGCTGAACCCAGAAAGTCAGTGCCTTTTCTCCCACCGGGTGAGTGCCCAGCTGTGCTGAGCCTGTGTCCGAGGCAAGGAATGCTGCTTGGTCTCCCAGGATACAGGGGCACAGCTCCCACCCTTCAAACCACCGTAGACCCCAAATCAATCGCCAGCATTACCCCTGTGACTGTTCCGAAGCCCAGTCTTCCAAACGGGGAGCTTTCCTCCCTTCCCCCAGAAACTACCAGAACTCTCCAGCTTTTGCCACCCATGATCACGGAGATACGCTGCTTGGTTCCCACTACGGGGATTTAAAGTTACCTCATAGTAAGTCCAACTCAGGCTTTATAAGGAAAAAGGATCCAGTCTTCACGGAGAGTCACCGCGGTTTTCCCCTTTAACAGTGCTCGCAGAGAACCTGCTAGTCCCCGAAGCCTCTCAGACACCCGTCAGGGCCAGCCCACTTCATCCAGCTCACCGTGTGCTGGGAGGGGGAGGGGGTTGAAAGGGTCCCCAAGACCCACGCAGCCACCAAACACCCTCCACCCCACCCCACACCCCACACACACCTGCCCCCAGCGAGCGCTCCTCTCCCTGACGTTCCTCGCACACGGGAACTGCTACTATCAGCTGCCAGATCGTCCCGAAGCTCCAAACCACCCTGCCTGCCTGCCTGCCTGCTCGCCGGTCTGTCTCGCTTTGACTGCATGAAGTAGCTTTGAACTTTGCCAAGTCCTTCCTTTACCAACCTCATGAGAGGGGAACCGCACAACTGATGAAGCGGCAGCATCAGCGAGGTGGCAGGTTCTTTCTTCAGATTATCAAGCTGGACAACGATAACTAGTAGATTAGGCCGAATTCGAGTGTGCATTATACTCGGGAAAATAGCCTGAATCAGTCACTCCTGGAATGGCTCTAACTGGCCACTGACAAAAACCTCCATTATGTGACTTCCTGGAGACCATCACCTGAATGAGCAGGTGAAATCCACCAAAGAATTTGAGTGACCTGACTGCAGCAACTAAATTGGGCAAGATAGGGCTCCCCCTATCTGGCATGAGGAGCACACCCTGGGAGATAGTGAACTCAGTTAAGCCTTAGGTTGGCTTCCTATAGCCAGGAGGTGATTTCCCTTGTCACCCAGGCAGTGTATGCATGTTGGGGATACTTTTACCTTTTGTACCAAAAAGATCTACTTAAATCTTCCATTTACCATTCCTTCAAATAAAGTAATTTGGTACCTGAGGGAAAGCCATGATAGTGTGTGGTATATATTTATTTTTTATTTAGTTGAAGTCATCCTTTAGTGACTGCCTACTTTCCAGATTTAACATATACTGGATATGCTGAATTTTGCAAGGTCTCGTGGGTGTTGCTTAAGGCTGCTAATGAGACTCAGAAAGTAGTTTAACTTTAGTGTATAAAGGAAGCTATTCGTACTTCCCAGGTACTTTGAAGTTAAAATGTTTTAATTTTCTCACTGATTAGGAACAGTTCTTGGAAGTTGCTCAGTCACCCTCAAATCACATTGAGTCAGAGAAATCCTTGATCTAACTTCATTATTATTTTGGTGAGAAGCAACACATTATTTTTTGTTCTTAGGGGGGCTTCCAAACTTGTGTTGAGAAGTTAATTTATAAAGACATTTCAAATCAAAACTCAGCCTCTAATTAAAGTATGGGCACTAAATTTGCAGTCTACTAGAAACTTTTTCTATGAAAAAACCAAGAGGGGGCCTTCCCTAGTAGCATAAGGGTTGAGCTGCAGCACTATGAAGCTCTCTGTAGCCACTGCAGCAGTTTGATCCCCAGCCCCAACCAACTCTCCAGCCTGGCCTGCTGCTCCCCTCAGCAGGGTGTTTCAGTCATTCTGCCTGTTCTGCTCCCCATTCTGTCTCCCGTGAATCCTCTCACCCAATGCACCTCTGGCCTGTACCCTATTCTTGTATGAATAAATACATTTTTTAAAAAAGAAAGAAAACAAACCAAGAGGCCTATCAGGAAGTTCTGCATTAAAAGGCTCAGGTCAGTGTGCCTCTGGCCCAGAGATGGTAGAGTCTTAATAGCTGCCTTGACTTACAGAATCAGTAACTAACAACAAACATGAATAAAAATTATCAAAATTCTATTGTTTACTAGCTATTTCCTCTAATATGCAAAAGCAATGAGTCAGTTTGTTAGAATAATTTTTTTAAAAAGATTTATTTATTTGTGCATACAGAACTAGAGTATAGGCCAGAGGCTCAGGGGCAGCGAGAGGCTTCACCAGAGACAGAGTGGGGAACAGAACAGGCAGATCTACGAAGTACACTGCTGAGGGGAGCAGCGGGCGGGTCAGGAGAGGTCTGCCGCGCCATGTGGTCACCTCTGGGGCAGGTGGGAATCGAACTCATGCGGAAGTGGCTTTAGCTTCTTAGTGCTGTGCTTTAACGCGCTGCGCCACCAGGGAGGGCCATTGTTAGAATAATTTTAATTAAACTTTGTTAATCCCTAAAAATAGGACAAGTCTTTTCCCATAGTGAGGTTTTACTTAATAATCCTGGCTCCAGTTAGAATAGGAAACTTTTCAATTGCTTACCATTTATGCCTTCACCTAATTCATGCACTATGCGCTCATCAGTCACTATCATTCTTTTGAAGCATCTATGTCGTAATTCATTGCATGATGTGTGTGAGGTCTGTGCTCCCAGCTGTCTATCAATGTCACATCTGTCTCATTCACTTATACTTCAGCACTTGGTGTGAAGGCTCACTTAGATGTTTATCAGATACTGTTAAGTGAGAAGAACAAATTAAGTTACATAGTATCATGCCTTTTTGGTTTTAAAAAAGTTATATGGTAAGGGACCAGAAGGTTAAATATCCAAATGGTCATATTTATTTTCTAGCACTAATTACCTTAGTTATAAAGGAAAAATATACACATAACCTCTTTAAAATTACTTTATACTTATAAAAGGAAAAATGGCAAACAGTGAGAAACTGAACAAGACCATAAACAAAGTGATCCAATCACAATTGCCCACAATGTGCAGATGTTACATGGGTGCCTCCAACTGTGGTCTCTGAGAAGAGAACTGAAGTCTCCACTGGTGACTCCTGACCTGAGCCTATCACAACACAACATCACATAAACACCAATCAGGGACCAGTTGTTTTAGATTTTGTATTCTTTTCTTTTTTTTTAAGTCAACAGTATTCTTTATTGCTTTATTTAAGTCTGTATTTAATTTTATCTATATTTTTTACATTATTCTTCATTTTGTACATTTTTCATCTATCTCAGTTGTAATCCCTGTGGACTTCCCACCACCACTTCACCCATGAGCCATCACCATAGTTCCATGTGCTGTTCCCACCCCGTTTTGTTTTCTTCCCCTCCCCTGTAGAATGTCTCTGGTTTATAGTTAATTGATGTTCATTTTTTTAATATGATAATAGTTTATTTTGATGTTCTTTTTTACTTTATTACAATTACTATATATACAATCATTTTCCCTCCAATCCTTTACACTCCTGCTATAAGTGAAACCATCTGGCGCTTTTCTTATTCTTTCTGGCTTATTTCACTAAGCATGATCTTTTCCAGTCCCATCCATGATGCTGCAAATAGCATGAGTTTATCTTTTTTATTGCTGAGTAATAATCCATTGTATATATGTACCACATTAAAATTGGGGCATAGGCCAGAGGTACAGGGGATGAGAGGATTCACCAGAGTCAGAGTGGGGAGCAGAACAGGCAGAAAGATTTACTGGAATACACTGTGAGGGGGAGCAGCAGGCAAGGCAGAAGATGTCTCCTGAGCAATGTGGGTTAGTTCTCTGGCTGGGGATCTAACTCCAGCCTCACAGGTGATAGCACTGAGACTTAACCCCTAGGCCAACGGGAAGGTCCTAGATTCTGTATTCTTAATAAATATCAAGGTCGGAAAAAACTGAGAAACAGTATCAGATTCAATGACTCTAGACACCACAACTATATGGTATAATTCTACACTGGATCCTGTCATGGGGGAAAAAATTACTATTGGAATAATGGATGAAATTCATTGGACGATGGATTCAAATATATATTAATGTTACATTTATTGAATTTGATAGCTACATGTAGTCATATTAAAAAATAGCCTCATTTGTAAAAAATATACACCAAAGTATTGCAGTAAAAGGGTATGATATATAAAATCTATTCTTAAAACAGTTCAGAAAAACACTATTGTGTGTATAAGCAGAGAGAAAATATAGCAAAATGTTCAAAACTGGTAAGTTTGCATTAAGAATACATGAGTTTGGGGCCCTCCCTGATGGCACAACAGGTTAAAGTACAGCACTATGAAGCTATCAGAAGCCACTCAACACTAGTTCTATCCCTAATCAAAGAGCTGTCTCCTGACCTACCTGCTGCTCCCCTCAGCAGTATATATCAGTAGATCTGCCGGTTCTGTTCCCCACCCTGTCTCTGATGAATCCTCCCACATGCAGCACCTCTGGCCTGTATCCCAAATCTGTATGTATAAATAAATAAATCTTTTTTTTTTTTAAGAAAAAAAAGAATTATAAAAGCATACATGAGTTTTGGGCACTAATCTTGAAATTTTTCTGTAGGTATGAGATTGTTTCAACATATAAAGTTTAAAAAAGCAATCAACCAAAAACTATTACTACACTACTAAAAAATCAATATACATACATCTATATAACAACTTTTCAGAAATAAGATGAAACTTAGTATTGGGCACAAGCATTTTTCAATTTACAGGAAATACACAAACTACAAAAGTGTTAAGATGTTAAATTTTGCAAGTTCACATCTCAATCCTTGAGTAGATATGTAAAGTTGCTTTTAAATATCCTCTAAGTTAGAAAATACTTGATTCTGAAATAAATTTTCATACAAAGTCAAATCTTTCTGGCTTAAGGATGGTTGTACAGTCTTAAGTGATTTTAGAAAATGTTCCTGTTTCACTGTGGTCGTGTCTAGTCCATCTTCTTGTAGAGCCAACAAGGCAGCCTATAAGAGACAGTACAAAATCACTTGCTTAACTTTTTTTTTTTTACAATATGGTCATACTTTAAAATTTGAGTGTAAAATCTTAGTCTTTATAGAAATCCAACATTAATGACACTAAAAATTTAAGCATAAAAAGTTATTTAAAGTCCTCTTTGTAGTCTATCTTTTCTTTACCAAACATTAACCTTCAATAGGAAAAATGACAAAATAAAACATATAAAAAAATTTAAATAATACAACAGTTAATTTTTACATCATTTTGTACCTTTTCCGTCTCAGTTATAATCCCCGTGGGCTTCCCATCACCAATTCACCCATGTGCCATCACCACAGTCCTGTGCACTTCCCCCCCCCACCATTTTTGATCCCAGTCCCTCCTCCACCCCCATAAAATGTCTCTGGTATATAGCTGTTCCGTCCCCCCACCCCAGTCCTCTATACTCCTGCTATGAGTGAAACCATCCCACATTTTTCTTTTTCTTTCTAAGCCCACATAAAATTTTAAAGATGAGAGACTATCTTCCTTACTTCAGAGAAGGAGTTTTAAACAGGACACAGCACTAATCATAAAGGAAAGATCAAAAACACAGTCTATGATCCAGCAATATTCATAGGTATATACATATAAAAATCAGACATATAAATCATTCATATACCAACAGACATAGAAGTATGTTCAAAGAAGTGTAATTTATAATAGCAAAAAAGTAATAAAAATAGATAAATAAATATATTCAAATTTTGAAATATTATAAAGTGATGGAAATGAACAAACTAATAAGATTGGGGATAAATATCACAAACATAGTGGTATCAAAAAAGGAGATCTAGGCTCTCCCTGGTGATGCAACGGGTTAAAGCATCACATTATGAAGTTCTCTGAAGCCACTACAGTCATCCCCCACCAGGGAGGTGACCCACATGGCTTGGCAGACCTCTCCTGATCCGCCCACTGCTCCCCTCAGCGGTGTATTTCGTCGATCTGCCTGTTCTGCTCCCCACTGTCTCTGGTGAATCCTCTCATCCACCATACCTCTGGCCTATACCTCAGTTCTGTAAGCATAAATAAATAAATCTTTAAAAAAGAAGATATAGTTCCATTTATAGGAAATGGAACTTTCTCTTCCTATCATCTGCACATTTATTCCTGCTGCCTCAAGTACCCCTTCCCTCTGTTAGCCTAGCTCCCTAATCACCTTCCCAATTTCAGTTTACACTTGCCCTGTCTTGGAAAGTCTTCCTGATGCCCTCCCCTGACCCCAAGTATGGACTGGTGTCACTCCCAGAAGCTCCCACAGCACCATAAACTTTGCAGACTCACTACACATTTTCAACTGCCAATTCAGAGAGGCTGCCAATTTGCCTCTCTGCACGCCCTGTCCGCATAACCTATAATCTCTCTAAGGAAAGAGCTTACCATCCACCTGGTTCACCTCACCTGGTGTCTGCCACACCGAAGTCTTTGACTAAATACTGACAAGAGAACAGATCTGAGTGAAGAACTTTTCTGAATCACCAGTTTCTCCACTAACTGACTTACTTCTTTGCAGAGGTTTCTAAGATCAGCTCCAGAGAAAAAACAGGTTTCTGCTGCAAGGTTTTCTAAGGAAACATCAGGCCCAACTGGCATATTTTTTGTATAGACTTTCAAAATAGAAAGCCTTCCCTGGAACAAAATAAAAAGTATGTCTATAATCTTATGACATTTATGTTTGATACAATGCTATATTAAAACATTTCTGTTCCATCATTATTACAAAGAAAGTATATATACTTAAATATATATTTAAAAATCAAATAAGAATTATTTCTGAGGAAGTAAAAAACATTACTTATCAATGGCTCATCTGAAAATAGTAAAATAATGATAACCTTTAATTAATTTTTAAAGTAGTCAATCATAGATTCGCTCTTTAAAAGACATGATGAGTCTCTCTTTTGGGATCAGACATAGTTTATGAGCAAATATATGAACTATCAGACACAACTGAAAAATATAGTTTTTCTTTCATTCCTTCAAAACTTAAAAATCTCAGGGAAGAAAAAAACTTCATTCTCTGCCTTTCACCACTCCCAAACAGTAACTCTGGATGTGAAGAGCAAAGAATTGACTGTGGAAATATTATACATCTCTGTTATCTCAGATTTCTCTGCTATAAAAGAAGGATGCTGACACAGATAATCCCCCCAAAATCTTTTAAACCCCTTTAACACTTTAGGTTCATTCATTCTAGTTGTTAAGTAATGTTGAATAGACTCAACAAACTCAGTATTTTGTGACTGTCACCGCACTGAAAAGATACTACTTCACTTTTAAGTATATGTTTGTTTGTAAACAGGGTCAGAGTATTTAGGAAAAGCAGACCAAAATGATAATTTTTTGAAGGGCCACTAAGCAAAGAAGAAAGCAGAAGCCAGTATAAGATGCACACTATCAACCATATCCAGCTTGAAAGCTAATTTTGCTGGGCTCCTTAGAATTCAGACATTAATGTGCTGTTAAGAATGTTCACAAAAGTCTGTCCCCCCTTTTCTGAGGGGGTGTATTACACTCCCATGGAGCTCTGGGGACAGTACAAAACTCAGTTTGTTTCTAACTACACATACATACTTATGATAAGCTTCATTTATAAATTATGCTCAGTAAGATATTAGTGATAACTAATAAAATAATTACAACAGTATACTATAATAGCTATATGAACATGGTCTTTCTCAACTACCTTATGGTATACAATATTTTCAGGCCAAGGTTAACTAAGTGACACCACAGAGAGCAAAACTGTGTGTGGTAAGGGGGTGATGTATATGATGATTACCTTTTCGTCAGGAGGTGGGATATATATAATCTTATCTAATCTTCCAGGTCGTAACAAGGCATCATCTAACACATGAGGTCTGTTTGTTGCCGCAACAATCATGACGCTCCGATTAAAAATTTCTTGACACTCTAACTGAAGGAAAATACAAAACACAGAGGAATGTCAATAAGCTGCTAATTATTAAAACTTTTAAAATTAAAAATCAGAAGGCTCATTTGATATTCTTTCTTTGGGATCAGAATGTTTACACGCACTATCCAAACCACCTTGATACCACCTTAAAAAGAAGTTAACTAAAAGGCTACTTTGTGCACATGGTGAGAATAGCCACCCCTACAGGACAGATCTCAATGTGAGAACCAAGGAAAGGCATTAAACCATTACAGAGAACACCTACCTGATGGCCTGAATGTACCTAAGCCCCACTGACAACCTAACCAGATAATTTATAAAGACAGAAGCATGTGCCTAACACGTGGAGATGCACAGTAATGAAAAAGTCTTGGCTCTCATGTCCTCAAAGAGATTTACTTTACTTTTTATTTTTCTTTGCAAAGGCAGAAATATGACAATATAGGCTGTAGGTATGTAAATCCTAGATGAAGAAAATTATCTAAAAGCAGTCAGGGTCAGACCTTGAATACATGCTAACTGCTCAGAATTGTTTGTGGAATAGAATTATCAGCTCTCTAGTGACTTAATACTTTGTGAGTTCCCTGTATCTATAAGTATTTTAGCAAAGGTGAGGTGAACACCTGTCAAATGCTATAGGTAAAATTACTGCATCAGAAGATTTAACTAGGAAACTTCATGACTCCTTTCAAATTCTAGTGTCTCCTGTTTCTACGCAGCTCTAAGACTCTACTGTGGGCAATTTTTAAAATGGGAAACAAGAATGAAAAAATATCTACTGGATGATGTAAGCAGACCAACCTCTTCTTGCAGGACAGAGTAGAAAGGGAGGAAACAGACTTCCAAAGATCTTTTAAATTTAATTATAACCAAAGAAACCCATTCTTCAAGAAAATTGGAAATTTCCAATTAAGATGAATAGAAATCGAAATCCGTGTTATTCACGTAAACATTCTTAGAAAGGATGAACACTGCGTCTTCAGCATATAGAAAGAAGTAAGAATAAATTCCCTCTTCCATTAGTGACCTGTAAAGCTATGTTTCAAAATCTTAGGAAGTCGAAAATTCACATATCTATTTAAAACAATTATAAAATTTTACTTCACCCTTTCTAGCAAATCACAATTTTTATCAGCGCTATAAAAATCCAAATAGGGCTCTCCCTGGTGGTGCAATAGGTTAAAGCACTACATTATGAAGCTCTTAGACGCCACTGCAGCACAAGTTCAATCTCACACCAGGCAGCTGACCCACATGGTGTGGCAGACCTCTTCTGACCCGCCTGCTGCTCCCCTCAGCAGTGTACTTCGTAGATCTGCCTGTTCTGCCCTCCCTCCTCTGTCTCTGGTGAATCTTCTCACCTACCATTCCTCTGGCCTAGTTCTATATGCATAAGTAAATAAATCTTTTTCTTTTAAAGACTTATTTATTTGTAATTGGGGTACAGGCCAGAGGTGCAGGAGTGGTGAGAGGCTTCACCAGAGGCAGAGTGGGGAACAGAACAGGCAGATCGACGAAGTACACTGCTGAGGGGAGCAGTGGGCGGGGCAGGAGAGGTCTGCCACGCCATGTGGTCACCTCCGGGGCAGGCGGGTATCGAACCCATGCAGAAGTTGCTTTAGCTTCTTAGTGCTGTGCTTTAACCCACTGCGCCACCAGGGAGGGCCCTAAATAAATAAATCTTAAAAAAAAAATCCAAAAAAGCCAAACTGAATTACATAATTCCTCCTAAAGATGAATCCAGCACAGGAAAAATTAGTGTAATATAGAAGCATCCCTCTTAAAGTTGGCTTGAAGTTTTTCATATATTTTCACTAATAAATACCTCTTCATTTTTTTCCAGCTCCTTATGTTTACCATGTTGATCTGGTTTACTTCCTCTTCTCTCTGTAGTCTTAAATCCAATGCCATCTAGTTCATTCAGGAGAACAGAAAGCACACGTTCTTGAACGTTACATTCTGTTTTGTCAACTGATCGAGATCCCAAGATTGAATCGATTTCATCCAAAAACACAATTGCAGGAGTATTTGCTCTTGCTTGTTGAAAAACCTTTTGTTAGGAAAATAAAAGTATTAAAAGGTTATACAATACACATTATTGATGTTAGTGTAAGTTTTCTGCAAAATTCATATTTTTTAAATGCAAAAAGAGAAAGATTCTAAACATTAAAGTTTTGAGGAATGAATATATAAAATAACAATAGAGTACTGATATAGGGCGTAAGAATCCTATTTTCAAGCAATATTTAATGTAATGAGATGTTTAGGTGATAATATTACATTCTAAAAATCATGATCGTCACCATGATGTTAACAATAGGTAGAGGAATTTTGGAGGATTTCTTATTTATACTTTCCAATATTTAAAAAATTTTCTATAAATAAGTATAACTTTTCCAACTAGAAAAAATAAAGATAGTAATATTTTTAAAAATAAGGTTTATTCCTAAAGCAAGACATGAAAACTCAAAAGTAAACTTAAACAAACCTGGGATAAGACTTTTTCTGAATCTCCCACAAAAGGCGAAAAGAGATCAGCTCCACTCACGGAAACAAAAGAACAATGACAGCTTGTAGCCAGGGCCCGCACCAGTGTGGTTTTAGCACAGCCAGGAGGACCATACAGGAGAACTCCCTTTGGTTGTGTCAGGCCCATCCTAACAAACTCCCGAGGGTATCTGAGAGGCCACTCAACGCTCTGTAAGTGCACAAAAAGAGATCGCATACAAAGACAGTGGTGTTATAACGATAAAAAAAAAAACATAAAACAAGTCAGGGAATTCATTCTCTCATTGAACAACTCTAAGGTACCTATTATGAGCTGGACATGCAGTCCACTATGCGCAGAGGAGCCAGCCATCTTGTATAACCTAAGTCAGCTCACTTCCTGCTTAAAATTCTTCAGTGACTTCCCATCAGAAATAGAATAAAATCCAAATGCAAACTCTATGTTACACCACTACTGACAAGGCCTTACATATCCTGACTACCTTTTAAACACCCCAGCTTACCCCCATCTCAGGCTCTTTAACTAAGTGTCCTCTCGGTCTGAACACGCCCTCAGATCTTTGTGTGGCTACTGCTCTTCACTCAGATACTTGTCTCAAATTTCATTTCCTCAGAGAGGTCTTCCCTCACCACTATAGAAATGAAGACTACCCTCCTTATTACTCTGCTACTACCCATCTTTTACTTTTGAAACACTTATCTGAATTATTTTTACATGTTGGGTTTATCATTCTGTTCCTACCAGGATGTATAGTATGTTCACCTGAAAGTCCCTAGCAACTAAAATGACACTTTCTCAAAGTAGGTATTCAGTCACTGTCAACTGTATAGTAATAAGTACTTACTACCACTGTTGGGTAGTTTGCAGAGGTCTCACTGCTACTGAGGTGGCAAAAACAAGACAGACCCCAAGCAGTATAGGTCAAGGGCACATTACTGACATTTCTGCTCTACCATAAAGGTAAGACAAAGCCCCTGTTCCTAAGAAACTGGCATTTTAGCTGAGCACACAGGCTTGTAAACGAACAACTAGGCTACAAAAGGACATTCCATGGAAAAGGAATAATTATAGAGAGGCACAGTAAACTGTCAAATATATTCTCCCAAAGTAACAGGAACAAAGGGCAGGATAGGTAAAGCAAGGACCGATGGCTTTGAAGTGAAGGAAGTAGTATGTTAAATGGACTAGAAGGAAGTGAAACCAGCGGCAGAGATTAGTAGTAAGTTTCTTGTGATGATTCAGAGTACAAAAATAATAAGGCTGGATGTGTCACAGGCAGTGATGGATGGAAGGAATAGATCTGAAACATAAAGAGGAATTGTGTTTCATGTAAGAACTAAGTTGTAAACACAGAGGGGAAGTTACGAGCAGGTATGGCATGACCCCATGCATTTAGAAGACAGATTTCTGGCTTAGGGATGGGACGATTGTTGGTATTCACTGAGGTAAGAGATCCAGGAATAAAGGCAGAGTCCATTAGCTCAACTTGAGACATGCTGAGCTGGAGATCCCAGAAGTTCCCCGGTAGGTAGGCAGCTGAATAGTTATGATGATCCAAAGAGATATCTACAATGGATATTTTTGTTATCAAGGAACAACTGAAGGCTTGGACATCAAAATCCCAGTCTCACAGTGTGAAGAGGACTCTCTGGAAATTGGGACACTAACACAGATAGTAGGGGAGAGGAGATGTCAAAAAGGTAGGAAAGCTGAACATCTAAAGCAAGGGGAGAAATGTTTCCAATAGGAAAGTGTTGCTAATCTTGTTCATATGTCCTGTGAAGATCAAAAGGAACTATATATATAAAAATTTAGGGCATGTTACAAATGCACTTATCTATCCACTCAAGGACTATAATGTTCACTATAAATAGAGCTGCTAGACCAAATAAACTATCATTGATATTTATATATCAGTCTTTGTTTTTGTTGTTAGAGAAGCCTTGCTTCTCCGGGTTTATCCAATATGGGTGAGTTAGCAAAGTCAATTTATGAAATTATAGTGCAATCGGAGGATCTGGAGTATTGTGTCCCTCAACCTCTACAGTGAGAACCAGTATCAAGTAGGCATCCATTCCTTACTGACTACTTATTATAACTTTGTGCTTTTTATCAGTCCCAATGCAAACTCAGGTCTACTGCCTGTCATTTTAAAGCCCACTAACTAAAAACCATTTTACATTTTTTTTTTTTTTTTAAAGATTTATTTATTTAATTCATACAGAACTGGGGTATAGGCCAGAGGCTCAGGGACGGTGAGAGGCTTCACCAGAGACAGAGTGGGGAGCAGAACAGGCAGATTGACGAAGTACACTGCTGAGGGGAGCAGCGGGCGGGTCAGGAGAGGTCTGGCTCGCCATGTGGTCTCCTCCGGGGCAGGCAGGAATCGAACTCATGCTGAAGTGGCTTCAGATTCTCAGTGCTGTGCTTTAACCCGCTGCGCCACCAGGGAGGGCCCATTTTACATTTTTAAATGCTCAAAAAAAGAGTAACATTTTGTGACATGAAAATTGTATGATTTTAGTGTTCATAAATAAAGTTTCTTTAGCACATAAGTACTGGTTATAGATTATTTACAGCTGCTCTGATGCCATATGGTAGTGTTGAGTGATTTCAACAGAGACCATACAGCCCACAAAATCCAAGACACTAACTGGTCTTTTGTTGGAAGAGATCAACAAGATGTGAACTCCAGTGCATGCAAGCTGGACTCAGGAAACTGGAGGTTCCTCACCTTTTCCTCTTTCCTTGGAAGGTATTTCCACTGCTGCTCCCAGAAGCTGCCCCAAGGATGCAATCTTGAGATAGCAGTGTTAAGACTATGTGGAGAGTATTGTGACTGAACAAAGTTAAGGCTTCTATCTAAACTGAGATTTGGTGGAAGGGTACAGAAATCTATTTGTCTTGGGGGGTTCCAAGAGAGCTTTTTAAATTCCCTGGTTCATTAAGCCCACCACCTACCAATATGGAGCAGGCTACTTATTCCTTTGGTCACTCTCTGCTTTCCCATGGGGGCTGGGGAGTATGATTTCAGATTATGTTAGGAAGCTTCTGAGTCTGTGGCCCAACACCTTTTATAGAAAAAGGCTGTTGACCTTTTTTCTAGTTTTTAAAACTCTTTTAAGTTGAAAAACAAACAAAAAGAAGGTGAGGTAAGAAAGTATGAAAAAACAGTATGATACCCACATAAGTCTGGTTAAACTGGAATTAAAAGCAACCATTAGATTTAATGACTGCAAGAGAGCAGCTCCAATGTAGCCAGTTTTCATATGAATGTATTCATTTTACACTGTAGTATGCTACCAACTTAAGTAGACTCTATATCTCACTCACCTGCTTTAACTTCATTTTTACATTTTCTAGGCCACCAATCTCATCCCAGTCAACAGGCTTAATGTCCACCAGTCCAATAACACTTCGAAATGACGAGGGTTGAATCTTTTTAAAAGCTTCCAGGAAGTCTTTTTTGTCAATCACTGGATTGTTCTGGTTCTGAAAAAATACACCCCCAAAAAACAAAATTAAACCATAAGTTATGTGGGCCTTTATATGGTATACAAGCACAATTACTTTTTTCCAACATACTTTTTTAATTTGTAAACCTATTTCATCATTACAAAGATATTTATATACACAGTACAAAAACATTAGATGTCTCTACTCTAACCCAAACATATTAACCCTTAGAGGATATCAACACTTTCCATATCTCCTTGTGTTTTTTCTTCCAGTTTTACTGAGATGTAATTGACATACAGCATGATTTGATATATATATATTGGGTTGCTAGAAAAACCATGATGTTTTATTGCTTGAAAAACAGAAAAAAATATGTCATGACTTTTCTGATAACCCAATAAATTCATGACGAGATTAATAAGCTAATATCCATCATCTCATATAGAAACAAGAAGAAAAAAATGTTTTTTTCCCACTTGTGAAGAGAATCTGCTCTTAATCATTTTTACAGATACTACACAGCAAAGTTAATTACAATTACCATGTAATGGATCATAACTTAATCACTTCCCTCTGTCAAACATTAAGTCATTTCCAGTCTTCTGTTAACAAAAACAAAGCTGTAATTGAAGATGCTTGTTTTGTGTATATTCAAGTATTTTAAAAAATCACATGCTCAAAACAGAATTACTATGTTTAAGAGTATACATACTTACAATTTGACAGCTATTACCTTAAAGCTACACCAATAATATGAAGGAGTTGCTGTCCCCAAACTCTCAGCACTGGATATTAACCAAACTTGGAAATTTCTGCCAATGTGGCAGAGGAAATGGCATTCACTATTATGCTAATTAAATGCCATCAATCAAGAGGTATGTACAGGGAATGTTGGAATTAGAAAGTCACTCTTTTTTCAACCTTCATAATGGAGGCTTCATAATCCTTGGACAAGGATAATCAATGGAAATTTAGGGGAGGGAAAGTCTGATGAGCTGTAGGATATTTGTACCACCGTAAAGGGTTTCCCCAGAGATTTCTTATTAGTTGCAAAGAGGAGAAAACAGCAGCTGTCCATTCAATGGAAAAACTGGGCAAAACCTGACTGGTTGTGCACAACAGTCACTATAGGGGACATAAGGAAAGGCAGGTGGACAACTATGCCACCATATGTGACATCCTAAAAAGGACTACTATTGTTGATGCAGTATTCCCAATAAATTCATATTAATCTTAATCTATGAAGAAATACTAGATGTAGAAAACCAAAGTGACTCATTCCTTAGGTCAAAGCCATCTTAGCCTGCAACCCATACTCATCCTACCCTGGGAAGAGAAACAGATTCCCCAGTGTTTCCTTCAACTACACTAACCTGTGCTGTGAACCAGATACAAGTCAACTGATCTTAATAGCACAAAGAGGTACCACAGCTTGCGGACCCCTGGCATCAGTAGTTTTTCCACAAACTCCTATCCTTTAAATGCTAAGCTCCAGCAATATATAAATTGCCTACAGGATGGCTCCAGCCTCAATGAGAAGTCCTGTCTACTTGCTCCAGCCCCAAGGACCCCTGCATGTAACATGCCCTTGATAAACTTTAAATGGGATTAAAGGATGTTCCTGCTTCATTCTTTGGGCTCAAATTACCTTCTCAGGTTTGGGGGACGAATTTGTTCCCACATCCACACATTAGAAAACCCAAATTAAGAGATATTCTATAAAATCACTGAACTGCATTTTTAAAAAACACCAATGCCAAATGTGTAGTAACTAAAAAGCTAGGAAATAATCAAAATTAAAAGGAACTAAAAACTAAATGTAACACATTGTCCTGTACTAGATTATGTGCTGGGGGAGGAAAATGCTAAAATGATCAAGATAATGACAAAGTCAGAACATAGAATGTAAATTGATGTTTTATGTCAACTAACTTTTTGGTGGCTGAATACAATCTTATACATAACCACACTGTGATCACTTCTGGAAATTTCCTTGCTCCCAATCTATATTAATATACTAAGGGTTAATACCCATTTGCAAACAGTTCAGAAAAAATAAGACAGAGAGAGAATGCTAAAACTAATTTGCTAAAATGTTAAAAATTGGTGAGTTTGGGAAGAGTTGAGCAGTTCTCTATCAGGCAACTTTCCCATAAGTCTTAAATCATCTCAGAAAAAAAAAAATTTTTAAAAAGAAGCAGAAAGGAGCTAATTTTTAAAGAAAGTAAAGCTGAAGATCTTATGCTTATTGACCATTTTAATTCCTTTTACTGTTAACAACCTACCTGTTCATATCTTATTACTTACTCATGTTCTCTTGGATTGTTGGTCTTTTCTTACTGATTTGTAAGTTTTCTATAGCAAGGAAACTAATCTTTTTGTCATAAGTTAAAGATATTTTTAATAGTCTCATGTCTTATCTTTGTTTATAGTATTGCTTTGCCATTCCCAAAGGTTAAATCAGCAAATAATTTCTTTTTGGGTTATGTTATAATTAGAAAGGCTGTCTTAATCAAAGATATTTTTCTTCATGTTCTTTTCTTTTTTATGTATCACCAAGAAAGTTGTGGACATCACTGTACTTTATTTATTTTATTTCATTTTGCATAGTAGAGCTGGGGCATTGGCCAGAGGTACAGGGGGTTAAGAGGATCCACCACAGACAGAGTGGGGAGCAGAATAAGCAGACTGAGTGAAATACACCGCGAAGGGAAGGAGCAGGTAAGACATGCTGAGCCATGTGGGTCAGCCATGTAAGTTAGCTCCCTGGCAAGGGATAGATAGAATTCAGGCCATAGGTTTGATAAGAGGCAACCCCTAATAAGACACCAGAGAAGCCCCTAAGATTATATTTTGCATAATTCTTTTTGCAATTCCCTTCTCTATAGTGATACAGATTTTTTTGTTACAGCTAAAAATGCCTTTAATTTCTACTTGTAATATTTGCATATTTAATTTGTTCTCTTCAAATTCTAAAATCTTGCTTGTATAAAATTTCCATTTTCAATTTTATTCTACCTATGTAAGACTATATACTTCCTACATATGTATAGAGCTATCCTGATCAATGTTAGTATAAAAAATGCCAACTATTATAATTTCTGAGAGGTAAAATTTGAGGCAATTTTTATTTTCTTTTGTCTTTTCCCACAAAGAATACTATCAAATACTTTTTAATAGCATTTTTTTTTCTTTTTGCTGGCTGGCATTATTAGATGTTAGATATCTGAATATGAATTAATTTTCAGGTAACATCACTAGCATATAAAATCCCAAGATCACTTGTGTGTATATACATTATCTCACTTGAGTCTCATAAGTCTTTCAGAAAGTTTTTCCTTTCTGTGTGTATATGGTTAACTTAGATCTAATGCTTTAGTAAGAATACTTCAACAAAAAGTAAACAAATTTTCATGCATCCCTGACACAGACAGAGGCAACAGCAGCCTCTCAGCTGCTTAGTGGGGAAAGAAGAAAAAGATGGAGCCAGTACCTTCCCAGATGCCTCTGTCCCTTCTTCCTTTTTGCCTGTCTTCCTTCCACTCCCCCTGGTTGTTTATGAACTCAGCCATCACCTGTGGCAACTACACCTGGGCAGGACCCTCCTGAGGTAGCAGCTGACTGGTCCACCTAAGCCAACGTCTCAAGGTCAAACCTGGAACTTCAAAGCAGAAGGAATCCTAAATGTAAATCTCCCAAACCTTGGTATTCTTATCTTCCCCTCAAAAGGCATATATTCTCACATGTTTACAAATGGGACTTGTCATTGTCCCTTCAAGCAGTTTTGCTTATAAATCCAGAAGATGAAGACTTAGAAGTTTACATAATTCCTTCCACACTTTCAGTGTAAGAATAAAAATAAAGGAAAAGAAAATAAAGAAGGATTTAGATTAGCTAGGGAAAAAGATTTTCCAAATTTAGGCTAATAAACCATCCTTCAATATTTTAAATAACAGAATTAATTTTTAAAAATTGTAACATCAAAAGGAAATTTTATTTCTATTTATTTTATAATTTATTTTTTAAATTTCTATCTTTTACATCACTGTGTATTCCCTGTAGATTTCCCACCACCAGTTCCTACGTGAATCATCACCATAGATCCTTATGCTCTTCTCTCCTGTTTTGATACCTTTCCCACCCTTCTCACAGAATATTTCTTTTTTACGATTACCTGCTAGTTTTGTTGTTTTATTATTATTATTGTCATTTTTTCCCTGACCCCTTATTTGGTTCCCCTATATTCCTCCTATAAGTAAAACCATTTGATATTTTCCTATTTCCTTCTGACTTCACTGAGCATGATTACTTCAAGCTCCACCCATGTTTCTGCATGTGGCATGCATTTATCTTTTTTTGATTACCAACTAGTATTCCATTGTGTATATACCATATCTTCTTGGTTCAGTCATTAATTTGAGGGCATTTGGGTCGTTTTCCTATCTTACCTATTGTGAATAGTGCTACAATAAACATAGGGGTGCAGGTATACTTTTTTGAATTAATGATTTTGTGTCCTCAAATGACAATTTTAAAGTTACTAAGGTTAAGAATTTTGTCTCAGAATACTACATGTGCTGAAATTGATTTCTTCTTGAAGGGGTTTAGTACTGGGGTTACTTATTACACACAAAATGAACAAAGTTTCCAATTCATAACACTGAAAACTTACAGAAATTTAAACTAATACCCTAAATATTTTAAAGAAAGAAAACATTTTAAGAAACTCATGAATTAATGACTTGGATGTCAAAGACAAATTTTTAAATAAAATTCCAGGCTACCAATCTTCAGTTAGGTTATAAAAGGTTCTTTTTAACTATTAACATCATGGGAATATTAACGCAAGGGAAAATACTGGGTTGTCAGAAAAGTCATGACACAGTTTTGCATAGAAAAAATGTCATTAATTTTCCAACAGCCCACAGTATCTTGATAATGGGGAAATCTTAGATACCAATTTATTCAAGAAATAAAGTTAACTTCACCAGTTAAAGGACAGAGAGTTATCATTTGCTACCTAGATGATATAATAAATACAACACAGCATCATGTCTGTGATATTCTTGACAAAAATGCAAAATCTGAATCAAATTATGAAGAAACATTAGTCAAACCCAAACTGAGGAGTATTCCAAAAGTTAAAGTCAAACAAAGAAAGACTGGCTAATGGTTCTAGATTAGAGATTAAGAAATCATGAAAAGTAAATACAAAGTATAAACTTGGTCTAAGAAATAATTTCCTTTTTTTCTTTTAAAATTTTCACTATAAAGGAAATTAGTGGGACTAAGTGAAATCTGGATAAGTCTGTAGAAATTAGATAAAAGTATTGTCAGTGTTAATTTCCTCATCTTGAAAACTATACTGTAGTGAAATAAAGTCATTTTTAGAAAATAAAAGCTTGAGATTTCAAGGCTAAAGGGGTCATCAATACTATCGTATATGCTCAAAATGTTTCAGAAAATGCATATATAGAGAAAGAACTCAGATCTCTCATTATGTCACGTTCTTTCTATAAACACCTGAATAGTGAATGATAAAGCAAATGTTATAAAATGTCACATTTGGAGAATCTTGGTTAAGAGCAACAGAAATTCTCTGTACGATCTTTACAACTTCTTTCTCTAAAATTTCCTCATAATAATAAAACATTATTCAAAATTCCAAAGAAATGTTTGAGTCTTCTGGAGCTTGACCACTCTGGGTTTCAGCATTAGGAGTTACAGGGGTGGGGGAAGTGCCTGGGTACACCTAAAGGACTCAGCCCTCTATCCCTACCTTCAGTTACAAATGATTTAAATGCAGCTGTGTTGTAAATTAGCTATTAAAGGTATCAAAAATCCCAAGAAAATGTACTTACCAATTTTGGTAAACACCAAAATTAATGTGTCACATTAATAAAAGATGACCATAGATGGCCACACACTAGGGCTTCCTACCTGTTCACTATGAAGCAAAGCATGCATGGCAGCCTCCCTGCAGAGTGCTGTCAGGTCAGCACCAACATAGCCAACTGTCATTTCTGCTAAGAGGTTCAAATCAACTTGACTGGAAATTGGCATCTTTGAGGTAATCACTTGCAGAATCTCCTTTCTTTGTTTAAGTGTGGGAGTTCCAATGACAACCTATAAGCAAAGCAAGATAAAATAAAATTTCAGTTTAATATTTTTATCCTGCAAAACATACATGCACTCAGCATTGCTTAGATTATTAAGATATGAAGATTCTTATTTCCCAGAAGAATAACAACAACTAGAGAGCTGTACAATAAAGTGCCACTTAACAAATTTTCACTATTTTTTGACAATCTACCACCCTGGTTCTAAGAACCAGGGACCAAACAGCAAACCAGAGTCTAGGTCTCTGCCCTATGGAGATATTGAGGAGACAGGTACTAGCTGGTGCAAGGATGAAATACATTCAAGTCTGAAGCCATTATGCTGTAATTGCAATTATCCTACCACAAAGTACAAAAATTACTTAAATTACCCATTACTCAAACAAAATTAAAAAATAGTTTATGATTGAAGCTCTTAAAATAGTGTTGCTTTGAATACTCAAGCTTCGGTGAGAATCGTGGGTACTTTCTCAATTGTGGTAAAGGATGCCCGTGTCTGACAAAGAATGAATAAATCTAGAAGATTTAATGCCTGCTTTGACTTTATTCTTACCTACCTTCTCCTTTTCACTCCAATACAGTTATTTCTTGAGGTTATACTACCTTAAATTCTTACTTCAAATCTGTAAGTTTAATACACTTGTAGCACACCTATTTCCCTTAAAAATTAACATTACTGATTACAGTACTCATCTTTAGGACCTGAACAACAAAATTAACCCCACCTTGCTTCACAGGAGCAATCTGACTCTGGGGGAAAAACAGATTCTGGTTCAAAGATCGTAAATAGAATACCTATTCTCTACTACACCGCACTCTTGCTTCACCGATTCAAAACCAAAGCGGCAAACGATTCGAGGCTGCCAGTCAGAAACAGACGAGGCAGAAGTTCCAGAAGCAAAGGGGTGACCTATTTACCTCTCGGTCAAATCTCCCAGGTCTGCGCAGCGCTGGATCTAGCGCGTCAGGCCGATTGGTGGATCCCACCACCACTACCTCACGGTCCCCACCGACGCCGTCCAGCAGCGTCAACACCTGGGCCACCACGCGGCTCTCCGGGGCTCGGTGTGCGCCTCCCCGCCGAGGGCACAAGGCGTCAACCTCGTCCAGGAAAAGAAGGGTGGGTCTGCGGCTAGCCAGCTCCTTCGCGCGCTGGAAGACCCGCCGCACATTCTCCTCGGTCTCCCCGGGTCGGGCGCCCTGCAGCGAAGGGGCACTCACAGCAAGTAGTTCAGCGCCCGTCTCCCGGGCTACGGCCCGCACTAACTGGGTCTTGCCCACTCCGGAGGGGCCAGACAGGAGCACCCCGCGGGGCACAGTCAACCCCAACGCCGCCAAGGCGCGGGGGTAGCGGAGCGGCAGGCTGATGAGCTCTCGCAGCGAGTCGGCAGCCTCCGAAAGACCCCCCAAAGGCACTTCTGGCTGCAGTTGCGTTTCCGACAAAGGCACATCGCTGAGACTGATGCAGGTTTGAGGAGTGACTAGCCCGGCCGGATCCGGGCTGGGGGCCCCGCCGATGATGTGCAGCGCGGCCAGCGGGCCTGGGGCGCCTGGCGGAGCGGCTACCACGTAGCCCTGGCAGACCGGTCGGTTCCTAAGCAGCTCCTGCGCTGCTTCCAGCACCGCGGCTGTGTTTGGGGCACTGGGCGCGCTCTCCAGTTCCCGAAACACCGGCCATACTGAGAGGCGCCTAAGGGGTGGGCAAGACACGAGGGTCAGGCGGCTCAGGCTGAGGCTACCCCCAGAACCTCGCGCGCCCACGGCCGTCCCGGGGCTCGCGCACAGCGGGTCCAGTTGCACAAAGCCGTCTGCTCCATCCCGCCGCGGCCAGGCGGTGCAGAGGCAGCAGCCCCCATCGGGAAGAGAGACCTTCACCGCTGAGCCCAAGTGCGCGCCCAAGGCGCGGAGGGCGGCGGGACCCAGGCGACAGCGCTGGGTGCCACGGTCCTTAGCTTCTAAGGGTAGCAGCTTCAAGAGCGGCCCTTCAAGGTGGAGATCTGAGCCCGGAGCCATTGCACATAGAGGAATCCTGGCCAGAAAGGTGCGAGCCGGGGAGGGGATTCCACCCGGACCGGAGAAGCTGGACACCGCACGTCGTGGCCGGAAGCAGGTGGTGCGCATGCGCCAGGCATGATTGTCAGTTTGTCAGCTAAAGTGGAGCGAAAGGGCCAATGGGAAAGTTAGGCAGCGCCTGAAACCGCGGATCTAGTATCTTGTTGTGTCGAATTTGATGAAATCCAGTAGCCCAAAGACAAACTTTTGTTACAGTTGTCTTGGAGGCAACTTAAGTGACCAAACTAGGTCATTAAGCCTAGTTAGGGGTTAGTACGACCTACTTTTCCCTATTCTGGGGGTCGGGCATCACCACCTGACCTTTCTAAACATCATCCACATGGGCACAGTGTTTTGGAGTGCACTGATGCCACGTCTTAGGTGACTTGGAGTAGCCCTGGTGCCAACCTTTTTGGAAGATCCAGACACTGCCTTTCTTCGATGAACACCAACACAGCAAGAGAGAAGCACAATGTAACGTAAAATTCCCTTGAAGAGGGAAAAGGAGAACCAGGCCATCTGACATATTTGTGGCATGCCAGTACATTCTGTTCAGATTCCTGATCTACTCCTATAAATGTTCTTTGAAAGCAATCAACATTTTCTGTTCTTGTAATAAGTGCTTATTTTCTGGGGCACAGCAGTACTACATCCTCTATTGGAGGCAATGGGGCTTGCTTATGGAGATAACTACCCGCTATCTCTGCCTTTCTCCTTGCCACAGGAAATGTTCTTTTCTCTGTATTAGCTAGAATATATTTCCTAAATCTTTTTTTTTTTTAAGATTTATTTATTTGTCCATACAGAACTGGGGTACAGGCCAGAGGCTCAGGGGCAGCGAGAGGCTTCACCAGAGACAGAGTGGGGAGCAGAACTGGCAGATCAACGAAGTACACTGCTGAGGGGAACAGTGGGCTGGTCAGGAGAGGTCTGCCAGCCATGTGGTCACCTCCGGGGCAGGCGGGAATCGAACTCATGCGGAAGTGGCTTTAGCTTCTCAGTGCTGTGCTTTAACCCAATGCACCACCAGGGGGGGCCTATTTCCTAAATCTTTAAAAATTCTGTTCATCAAAAATAACTGCAGATATCAAAGTTAAGAAAATGCCTTGCTTTTTGCCTTACATCTTTTTATATTTTTCCTATCTTCATTATAACTCAAATTTGTGTGGTTAAAAATTTTAAATTGCAAGTTGGGGTCCCCCTCCTACTTATACAAATAATCAGTTGTAGATTCTATAGCAATGGCCTTACATTAGAAAGTAGTCAGACCTGGGATCTTAAAATCACTGCCAGTTTCTGGTCTCACTCTACACAACCTCAGGGTAGACACCATGACTGATTTTTGCATTCTATAGTCACTTACCTGGTTTTTGCTGTATATTTCCAGCTCCAGTAATGGAACAACTTAAAAGGAATCAGAAAATAGCACAGAAAGAGGGTAAGCCATCCATTACTTTGTTTTCTTCTTGATCTTGCTGACTTTTGATCTCTGGACAATAAAGACTATAAACTCAGAATTTTCAAGAACAGGTTTAGCTTTCCTGATATAAAATAGCAAAATTTCTATTGACCCCTAGAAGTATGACTAAAATGCCCATCAAGTTATTCTATTTGTGGCCTTTACCTCACAGAGGTTCTTTTACTCTGATTCCAAGAAGTTGCAGGGGTTCAAAAAAGAGGGAAGAATTAATAAGGATGTGGTAACTGTTTTAAATTTGTAAGGGGATATTACATAAGAGCTGGTAGATTTATGTATCCCTAAAGTACAGGACTGGCCAAAAAGTGAAAGCTTAAATGGAGAGACTGTTAAAAGTCTTCTGCCTCATGGTCATGTGGAATAGGTTTTACTGTTTTTTATTTTTTTTTTAAGATTGATTTATTTATGCATATAAGAACTGGGGTCAGAGGTGTGGGGGATTGTGGCGGGTAGGGATGTGTGTGAAAGGATTCACCAGAGATAAGAGTGGAGAACAGAACAGGCATATTGCAGATTAACTGAAACAGACTGCTTAGGGGAGCAGCAGGTGAGACAGGAGAGGTTTGCTACACCATGTGGGTCACCTCCCTGGCCTGGTATTCAACTTGTGCTGCAGTGGCTGTGAAAGCTTCATAGTGCCTAGCTTTAACCTCTTGCACCACCAGGGAAGCCCTAGAAGAGGTTTTTTATTGTTGCTGTTGTCTTAATGAGAGGACTTTCTAATAAAAGAGGTCTTTTTATAAGCTTTTTTACATATAGAAAGAGGCATAACAAAAGCCAACATAGAGAAGTAAATATGGTTAAATCAGACAGAAGAGTTTCTACTTTATTTTGTTTAAAACAGATGTAGAGGCTGCTACATTAGACACGATGTGGCAGAAATGACATGTTGCTTTGTGTGGGCTGAAAGTCAAATCAGATTTCTGTAACCTTTGGGACTCATCGACCCAGGATACATTAATTTTATACTCTCCTGAAAGTTCCAGTTTTCGTTTAGGTTGTAAACTAAGGTAACCTGTTCTTAGACCTTCAACTCTGTCTCAGCAAACTCACTCTCAGCAAAACTCTAAATGGTTTTTCCAGCCAACCAATGAAATCTCTGTCCTCTTAGGCCATTCCATATGTGACACTATTATTTTAACCTTAATAGCCAAATTTATAATATCATTAAATGACATTGTCTTCTCATGGAAAAGCATTCTGAAAGGAGTTGTGTGTTCTTTTGCTTTCTTGTATAATTATAATATGACCCCGAATTTGGTAATTCAGAGTACCAAAAGGTTGAACACTAGAGGGAGTGTAGAACCAAATAAACCTAAAAACTACAGGATTCTTGAGTTAGAAGAGTTGTCAAATGTGGCTTCTATTCCATTTCCCCAAAACTCACACCTTGTTATATGAGACTGTATGTTGTCTAATAATAATTATTTTCTCATCATTTCTATATACCTCAGGTCATGTAGAATTCATTTTCCAGTTTATAATTTAATCACTGTATTAAATATGAGGCTTTCCTGAAATCCAAAATCCAATGGTAGATAAAAATCCAAACAAACCAAATTTATCTTGTTATAGTTTAGGAATAATTCTACCTTTGAATTGTTTCAAATATCCTTGCTAAACAAAACCATTAGCAAGATTTTCCTGAAGAGGTACATTTAACAAATAGTTTCTCTTGATTGTATTTGCTACATTAAAGGCTACAAGCCATATGATATTAAGTTAAATATAAACATTCTTAAATCTAAAATTCAAAAGAAGTAATTGGCTTTTAGAATAATTATTGTACATTATGTACCTTCAACATCAATAATATTACACTAGATGTTAAAACACACCATAATTGTGAAAACTAAGTAAAATAAACCAACTAGTAGCTTGAATCATCAATAGATCCATAAATGCTAATCTTTCTTATGTCTCCATTTTCACCTTATGAAACCCTAATATATTTGAACAGCAGCAGTGGTTATGAATTGTAATTGATAAGCATAGAGATCCATTTAATCACACTTAGAAGTCATGATTGGTAAATGTTTTCATGTTCATATAGCTATATCAAGTGACTTATTTCCATAAATACCTAATTGCCAAGATTTTCCTATTTTAAATTATACAATGAAAATCCCCTAAAATATGATATTGTTAAAATTGTTCTTTAAATTTTTCCATCTCTAGTCTGTTTCATATCAATGCCAGAATTAGTCTAGCATATACAGAGTCAGGAGAAGGGACATTATTATAGCCATCAGTTTGCTGAACTATGAATGACCTACAGAATACCATTCTGAAAGTCTATTGTTGCATTATTTTGGAGAAACAGCTTGGTTCATAATTTTTTAGAAGTTAAGTCCAAGAAAATTATCCCCTTTGATGGTGTTTCAAGCTGGTCAACTAATAAAGTTAACAACATTTATGTGTTTATTATATTTATTGAACACCTACCTTACGCTACTTATTATATCACAGGTTAAGCTTATGGTGACTTTAAAAAATCTTTACCTTCATGAATTTTATATTTTAATAGAAAGTCAGACATCAAAGGAAAAAATCAGTGAATGAACCAGATAATTAAAGGTGATAAAAACTTATGAAGGAAAATAAACAGAAAGGTGCTACTTTACATGGGAAAACTTGGAAGAATTCTCTGAGAAAGTGACATTTAAGCTGAAACCTGAAGGATGAGTAAAGCAAGACAGAAAAACTGGTTATGTAAAAGGAAGTAAATGAGTCGGATAGAATAGGCCATGACGTTCCCTTGAGCATCGAACATGCGTGATGTATTGAAAAAACTAAAAGAAGGCTAGTTTTGTGACTGCGCGACAGCTTTGCCACTTACATTCTATTTTTTTTAAGTGTCATATATAGATGGATATTTTATTTTTGAGTAGATAGTAAGTTGTTTAAAAACAGAAACTAACTTTTAAAATATGTATCTATGATATACTTTATAGGAATCTACTAGTGTGCTGAAATATAGTACTCAAGAAACACTTGTTAGATTGAATTTGATTGAAATTAGGGCACAGAGTTTGTTGTCTCAGACTTTGTGGATCAGAGCTCATTCTGTCTAGACAAATTAGTAGATTCAGGGAGACCTCAAGGGTAATTTCAAGGAGAATGTCCCGCTGCCACTTCTACAATTCATCTCCCCCCGTTTTGAGATTTTTAACATTTTAATTAAATCAATCATTAAAATTCAGGACTGTCGTCATAATCATTGCTTACGTTCAGGTACTCTATCTTAAAATTCACTATAACATGAAATTGGAAACCCATGCGCTGCTGAAGTATCCAGACATTCATCTTCCCCTTTGTCTTCTTCATATCAATAGGAACCATATCATTTTTGTATTATTGCCACAATCTTATAAGTGAATCCCATTATTCCAGTCTCTCTTCATATCACCTTTAAGTTAATCCAGCCAGGAAACTAAAGTACATGGACTTGTTTGGAGATTATTTCTCTCTTAAAGTCATAGAGCTTTCAAACACTCAAACTAGTCTAAGATGGGCCCAAGATTTTTTAAGATCTGACCTTGAAGATTGAACCAAAAGAAGTCCAGTATGCAGGAACAAAAAGGAAGGACACCATTGGAACATGGCTAATCCATAATGAGTTCAATTAAAGTTGATAAACTTTAGTGAATTCAAACAAAAAGTTGATTTTTAATAACTTTACAGTTGGTAAAGTTGGTAAACTTTCCTTGAACTTGTTTCCTCCTTCAAGAAATGTTTCTGGCCCTCCCGGGTGGCGCAGCGGGTTAAAGCACAGCACTGAGAAGCTAAAGCCACTTCCGCATGAGTTCGATCCCCGCCTGCCCCGGAGGAG